GTGGACCACAACAAACTATGGCAAGTTCTTAAAGAAATGGGAGTGCCTGACGACGTGATCTATCTCCTGAGATAGCTATATGTGGGATAGGAAGCAAGAGTTAAAACTGGATATGGAACAACTGATTGGTTCAAAATTGGGAAAGGAGTATGACAAGGCCGTACAGTACATTGTCTCCCTGCTTATTTAACTTGTATGCAGAATATATCATGCCAAAGGCTGGACTGGAGGAATCCCAAACCGAAATTCAGATTGACAGAAGAAATATCAACCACCTCCGATATGCAGATGATACCACTCTGATGGCAGAAACTGAGGAGGAATTAAAGAACCTCTTAATGAGGGTGAAAGAAGAGAGCTTAAAAATGGTCTGAAGCTCAACATTAAAAAAAAAAAACTAAGATCATGGCCACTGGTCCCATCACCTCCTGGCAAATAGAAGGGGAGGATATGGAGGCAGTGACAAATTTTACTTTCTTGGTCTCCATGATCACTGCAGATGGTGACAGGAGCTACGAAATTAAAAGACGCCTGCTTCTTGGTAGGAAAGCTCTGACAAACCTAGACAGCATCCTAAAAAATAGATACATCACCTTGCTGACAATGGTCCACATAGTCAAAGCTATAGTTTTTCCAGTAGCGATGTATGGAAGTGAGAGCTGGACCATAAAGAAGGCTGACTGCCGAAGAATTGATGCTTTTGAATTGTGGTGCTGCAGGAGACTCTTGAGAGTCCCCTGGACTGCAAAGAGAATAAACCTATCCATTTTGAAGGAAATTAACCCTGAGTGCTCACTGGAAGGACAGATCCTAAAGCTGAGGCTCCAATACTTTGGCCATCTCATGAGAAGAGAAGACTCCCTGGAAAAGACCCTGATGTTAGGAAAGTGTGAAGGCAAGAGGAGAAGGGGATGACAGAGGATGAGATGGTTGGACAGTGTCACCAAAGCTACCAACATGAATTTGACCCAACTTCTGGAGGCAGTGGAAGACAGGAGGGCCTGGTGTGCTCTGGTCAATGGAGTCACAAAGAATCGGACACGACTTAACGACTAAACAACATGTCATATCTGCTTTGATTTGGATTCCTGTATTGAGCAGGGGGTTGAACTCAATGGCCTTATAGGCCTATTACAACTCAATTATTCTATGATTCTATGATATACTTACATGTTGAAGATATATTACTGGCAGAAATCAGCAATGATTGATGAATAAAGAAACGCATAAAAGCCAGATTGCATTTGAACATGAAAAATAAAAGTAACGACAGCAAAAGAGTTACAGTCAACCCTTGACTTACAAACTTAGTCCATTCCGGAAGGAAGTTTGTAAGTCAAAAAGTTTGTAAGTCAAATCGGCATTTCCCATAGGAATGCATTGAAAACCAATTAATCAGTTCCGGCTGTTTTTGGTTCTTAGGTCGAGGGATGGTAACCCCCACACACAGCATGGCATAGAACCCAGCAACCATTCCTCCAGCACAATAAGACTCTGAATCCACCTTTTAAGCACAGGCACAGACATTTTAAAACAATGCAAGACCCATAAGAGCACAGAAATATAACCCCCCACAGCAAGGCATAGCAATCCAGCAACCATTCCTCCAGCACAAAAATGCCTGCCTTCCTGAACAAACAGCACATGAACTCAAAGAATATTTTAACCACAGGCACAGACATTTTAAAACACTGCAAGACCCCCCCACCTAGCCCTACCCCTCCACCAAGCTGCAAAAAACCATGTACAGTACATACAGTAAAGTAAAAACATACAATGTACTCACCCAGAACAGGCAGTCACTCTGCTTTAAAAAATAATGTCAAAATAGCAAAAAGCAAAATCCAGAAACCCAAAAATAGCCAAAAATAAAAATACAGTCCAGGCAATACCAGGCAGTACCAGGCAGTCTGAAGGCTGTCTCCCAATCCACTCTCTAAATGCTGGGAAGAGCGAGAAAGCAGACAAGCACCCTCTTCACTGGCCAACGGTTAACTGAAAGTTCAAATTTTGTGCTTTCTCCACTTCCTGCGCATTTTTTTTTCAGTTCATAATTCAAATCTAAGTTCGTAAGTCAATATTTTCCTATGAGAGTGGTTCGTAAGTCAAAATGTTCGTAACTCAGGCCGTTTGTAAGTCAAGGGTTGACTGTACATAATTTTAATGTTGACAGTGAAGAAATGGAATTCCTTAAAGATTGTCTCCAGCTTGGTTCAATCATCAATTCAAATGGAGGTTGCAAGCAAAATATCAGGAGAGGACTTTGACTTTGAAGGGCAACTATGAAAAAGCTAGAAAAGATCCTTTATAAATATATGTGACAGAAGACCAAGGCCAAGATCATGTAAGCCTCATTTCAAGGATTGGGTAATGAAGAAAGCTGACTGGAAGAAAAGTGATTTGTTTAAAATGTGGTGTTGGAAAGGAGCTTTATGGATAGCAGGGACTGTGAATAAGAGAAATAAGTGGGTTCTAGATTGATCAAGTGTAAATTCTCATTTGAAGCTAAAAAGATAAACTAAAGTTATTGAACTTTGGAAATATCCTGTGGAGAGAAAAATCATTGGGAAAGGCAGTAATGCTAGGGAAAGTGGAAGGCAGTAGGAAAAAAGGAGGACCAAATATGAGATGGATTAAGTCAGTAAACCAAGGTCTTTATTTTGCAAGACTTCAATAGGCCTGTTAATTTCTGGACCTTGTGGAGACTTGCACTTTCTAGGGTTACCATAGATTGGGAATGACTTAATGCCACATGGCAACAACAACAGCTGTGGCAGTTTTTATTGGATTGTTTTGTCAATATCTTAATAGATAATGATTTCAAATTTTAAAGTCATGTTTTAATTTAAGACTTATAATGTTGTACCCTCTAGGTGTGATTAAACTCAGTATACCTTTTCATAACTATACAACAAATAATGATGTCTGGCTGAAAATAACTGTGGTGTTCCCATTTCTAATTGCCGTAATATGCATATTTTATTTTTAGCGGGCCACTGTGGAATTCCTGATCTTATAGTCAATGGTCAAGTAATTGGAGAAAATTATGGTTACCGGGATACAGTTGTATATCAGTGCAACCCTGGCTTTCGACTCATTGGCTCCTCTGTACGGATTTGCCAGCAAGACCACAACTGGTCTGGTCAGCTTCCATCCTGTGTGCGTAAGTAAGCGTGGCAGAGATTATACTATGCCCGTATAATTCATGTCCTGTGTTTACTAATTTGATGAAGGGATGCTGAGCCAGTTATGATACTTAACCCTGAAAGGCTGACTTTCTTTTCAGAATTATGTAACAAGGGAACACACACAGAGAGAAAGAGAGAGATTGAGAGAATTACTTTGCACAATTCCAATTTATGTTCATTCATAAACAGAAACGCAAATTCAAGGACTGATTTAATTTCAGATAAATTCTCAGGTTGCATTCCAGCCATGTGTGGATAAGAGGTAAAAATCAAGGGTAAATGCTTGCATAATTTAGCTTCAGGTTCTTAGTGAAGGTTATTAAGCCTTAGATGAGGCATTTCAACTTTTTAGAATGAAAAACATTCTGTGCAAAAGATGGGAGATCACTAAATGAGTGTATTGTAAGAAACACATCCAAAGAAGTCTGGGGGGTGGGGGTGGATATAGCTTCAACCTTTGAGCTTTGCCACTCCTGCTTTGCATGAAATAGGATATCTAAAAAGGAAAGACACTGAACATTCTTACTAGGAAATAAACACTGTTGGCTGCTGTGTAGGATTTACTTCTGATTAACTCTGCACAGGATTACTCTGTAGGCCTATTGCAACACAGTCTATTAGCCTCAATCATATTTCAGATTGAAGGCTAAGTTTAAACATTACATTCTCATTCTCCAAACCAAGAGGAGCAATAACTAACTAAGCAGACTCTTTGTTTTCTGTATACTCCTAAACTGCTATGAAAACATAACCTTCTTCATTGTGGCCTCTGTGAATCACGCCCTGAGTAATCCGAGCATGTGCAGAGCCTTGTCGGAAGATTCTAGAGCTTCTGTGGTAGCAAAAATAACCACATTAATGTAGACCTCTCCCCCTCAGTATATGTACCTTGGCACCAAGACTATCCCTTCAGTTTCTTTCAACCACCACTTTGAGACCTCATATCGCTCGCTTCTGTGAGTCTTTTCCTAAAGTGAGAGTTTTTTCTTGATTCCTTTAATGACTTAAGAATTTTAATTATTTTTTTAAAAAAATTCTTTGTTGCTACAAAGCCCCCCTCCCTTTTTTCTTTATTTTTTTTCATGGCCCCTGTGGGCCCATTTAAACATTGTGTGGTCTGTGAGAACAAGATCCCACTTTCTGACAGCTACGCTAAATGTCTTTTCTGTCTTGCTGAGGCCCACCAAACCTCTTTGTGCCTTCACTGTAAGAATTTTAAACCAGGAGTTCTCCACAGTCATCTTTCTAGATTTAAGCTTTGGCTTTGGGAACAGTCCCTCCAGCCTACAAAATCTGTGACTCAGCCTGTCTGTAAGTCCACCTCACAAGCTAAAGCCATGGATAAAGCTATTTCAGAGATGGCGAAAAAGCACCCTTCGGTCACGCCATCACGCTCTGATGCCACTTCAGAATCGTCCACTAAGGGCCACAAAGCCAAATATTCGATGCCGAAACCATCAACATTGAAAACCATCACCAAACGGAAGCCATCCATCGATGCGCCTTCGGCTCAGGAACCCTCACCCTCAAAGAAACCTAAACCTTCTAAGGTGAAGTCCTTGAGGGTTATCTCCCTACAGCTCCTGGAATCTGGGGATCTAATATGAATGGGTTCACCTTTGGATGAAGAAGTGCTTCCATCTCATCAACCATATTCATCACAGTCACCAGAATGGGAGGAGTCGGAGGACCAGCTCACATCCTCCCCGCCTAGCCCTCAACAATCTGGCTCTCCCAGCAAGCCCTCCTTGGTTGCTTTGCTTGATATGCAAGGAGTCGAAATGCAACCTGAGACTGTGTCCTACTACGTCCCAACAGGCCTACCACCAGAGCTTCCAATGAGCCATCAAGGACACCAGCTATGCGAGACCAGCAATATATCTTTGTGTGCGGTGTCAACCCATGCTCGGCACTATCATTGGGTAGCCGTTTGCCCTGATCAGTGCTCAATCGATAAACCTGCCAAGCACTATCAACCAGTTGCTCTCCCTGGTTCGACGGCAGTGCCTCATCAAAAGCCTGATTCACAACAGCCCCCTTAGCCTGCCTCAAGGGAATCCAGGCTGCCCTTTGCAAAGATGGAGGCGGCAGTTTCCTTGCTCTAAATGAAGCTGCGGCTGCCATCTTTGCAAAGGGCAGCCAGTGTCCCTTACTGCAGGTTGTGGCTGAGGAGGCCAGCTGGAGACTGTGGCAGCAGCGGCGGAGCAGCAGTGGTGGTGGGACGGCTGCGGCATGGCGGTGGAGGGTGGTGGTGCAGCAGCAGCGCAGCGGCAGCTATTATGGTGGGACACTGCTTCAGCGGGGGTTGTGGCAGGGGTGGAAGTGGCGTGGCAGTGGCTATTATGGGGGGGGCAGGGGCAGGGGAGGTGGCAGTGGCAGCAGCATGGCAAGGGTGGCAAGGCAACAGGTGTGGTTGTGAGGTGGTCAGGGTTTTTTTAGACAGTTTCTGGCCGTCTAATCTCCCCACAAATCAACTAATAATAATTCATACTTCATTGGTTCATGGGGGGAGCTTCGTGCTTCATCAACCTTGACGGATCACGAAGCAGGAGAAATCACAAAAATGGTGATTCATCCCCTTCTCTGATTGAAATCCCCTTCTCTAATTGAAATCCAATGAATATTTGCTAAAGGTATACTATTCTCTTCTCTTGTTTAGTACATCAGAAAACTGTTACCCAAAAAAGAGAATATTGGAGATAGAAAATATTTCCTTCAGTGAATAGGTTCCTGTTTGCTTTTTTCTGGAGATATACATTAGGTATAGCTGAGCTTGGAAAGTTGCTTTTTAAAAATTTATTTGTTAAGTTACAGTTGCCCCCTTCCACATAGCTACCTACCCTTTATAACTGAAAGTTTTGACAATGATCTCTTTTGAAAGTAATCCTTTTAAATTTATTTCCTTGCTTCTGAAATAATTATTTTAATGTTCGTGGGTTTTTTAAAATTGAAATTATGCAAGCTATAATACAAAACACTCTTTCCATTTAACTTGTCCCTGGGGAGCAGTACAATTAAAAAAAATACACTTGAAATATGTTATATTTTTCTTCATTCATCTAATGAGTCATATCCCTAGACTAATTTTAAATATTTTTAAGTTACTGTAGTACAATCAATGTCTGCTCACAAGGCTTCTAGATACAGCCTGCTGGGCTCACGTGTAAGCCCAGACCCAACCCCCTGCAAAATTGTAGAATGCAGCAAATATTAAGCCATTCTTTGCACATCTAATTCTTAGAAATTTTTGACAGCAATCCTGTTGTGGATCTTTACAATGTGTCAGGTTGGTGATGTCATCAGCCATGTCAGTTCTTCACACATAAAATATTAATGATTTATTTCTTAAATGTCTCAAGGTTCTTGTGGAATACCTTTCATTGTGGGAAAGCCTTTGCAGGCTCCAGGACAGGAAGGGGAAGGTTTTAATTAGTTAAAATCACTACTGCTATGGTAATTGTACTGGCTGCATAGATTTTTGGTAATTATGTTTTTTTTTTTTAAAAAAAAGCCACATATGATGACATAATCAGCCTTTTGTGGTGTAAAATTGCACAACAGAATTTCAGCCAATATCCTTCACTTTATGGCACATTTGATAATCTACAGTATTGACAGAATTGATTACTGGATGATTTGAGCAGAAGAATATAATTCTATATGTAATACAGTGTGTCTGGGATGTAAAGAAGACACATAGCAAAGAATGACTCTTTGGAAAGCTTGATGACAAGTCCTAGGCCTTATTTACTTCCAGTGTAAACCTCAAAAGATCTTGAATAAATGAATTTGTGTCCAACCATTTTGAAATCAATATACTGGCTAGCATGTGATTCTTTTGAATGATTTCTTTTGAACACCTTCCAACACATGATCATCTCTCTAAGCATATTTTGACTAGTGGCAGTGCTATATTTTCATTTATTTTGCATTTGTATGCTTTTATTCTTTTTAGATTTTAATTGTATTTGTTCACATTAGTCGTAAGCCTCTTTGTTCTTGTAAGAAAAGTGAAGTAGATCAATCAAATAATAATAATAATTTGCAGACTCTCAAAATGCAAAAATAGGCAATGTCTTTATGGACTGCCGAGTAACACAGTAAACCGAGCGTTCATTGATTAAACACCACTTCATCAGGATTATACCAGGGTGAATAAATTAAAGTCCAAAACTTAAAAGTCCAAAAGTATATGGCAAGATTTGTGTTTTTTGTTTTGTTTTGTTTTGTTTTGGCCAGGAACGCTGCTCTCACATGTCAAGTCGAGCCATTCTTGGGAATTTGCCATTTTGTCTCTTAGATTGAGGTGAGGGGCCTAGTTGCTGTTTTATGGTTGCTATTTAGGCAGCAAACAAAGAAGCACAGACATATGTGTACACACATCTCCATTTGGGAGATGTGTGAACCCACACAATCTCTCCAGGATCTCACATTGAAGGAGCTCACGTTTAACAATAAATTGCAAAAAATTATTTCTTAGACAGGATATGTGAAAGTTGGTAACAATATGCCTTCTCTCTGGCTTGTTTCTGATGTTAGCTGTTAGCTGTGGTCATCCTGGCAGTCCGATTTATGGAAGAACAAGTGGAAATGGTTTTAACTTCAATGATGTTGTGACATTCTCTTGTAACACTGGCTATATCATGCAAGGACCAACAAAAGCCCAATGTCAGGCAAACAGGCAATGGAGTCATCCACCGCCAATATGCAAAGGTAAAGGGGGAAAAGATGTTGAACATTTTCAAGGGAAGCTAGTTACATGTAAGGTGAGGTTGGAGGAAATGGTGCAATTAAAGGTTTAAATCCAGTTTTACATGGTGTTGGTGCTGCACTTGACATGGAATAGCTTCCCTTCTCTCTCCTCTCTCCTGCAGCTTTTTCCTTCCAGAGATAAGAGCTGCTCACCTGCTCACCTGCTCATCTGGTATTCTGGTGGTGCAAATCCTGTGCTGGATTTTGCCCAGCATCTATGCTAGGCATCTGGAAAAAGAACCCTATAATTTAAAGAAACTGGCAAACTGAAAATTTAAGATATTTATATTTGCTTCAAAAATAGTGTTTTCTTCAGATACAGATTGTATAAATGCCGGAGGCTGAGTTCTAAGATGAAACAAAATGTAAAACCATTTAAATTGTATTTGTTTAACTCATCTTACTTTCAGATTTTCTCTCTCCCTAGAGACATCGCTTAAAGTACAAGCTCTTTAGAAAGTTTATCAAATTGTTTATTTTGTTAGTTTTAAACTTCCATCTATGACTTCTACTTGGTATTTTACTTAATGCTAAATCACTTTGGAATGTTGGTTAGTAATATATAATGTTGTTAACATTATTGCTTTAACTAACAGCAGAAACCCGATATGTCTGTTAACTGCATTTGTTTGCTTTTTAAGCTTAAACATTCATAAAGTTCTAACTTGCAACTTTAAAATAGATTTGCACAACTGAGATGACAAACATCTTGAAATCATGTTCTTTTTTTCGGGAGGGGTACCAATCCCTAGCAGTTGCTTTGAAGACTATGACATTGATTAATGTTAAAATTAATCCAGACATACTGTTGCCTGTTGAAAACTGGTAATCTTGGCAAATAACTGCAAGCTTGCAAGTTTTTTTATATATCATGTTCAACTAATATATCCCCTCTAGTAGATTCTTGTCAGTGTGAAAGTAAAAAGAAAATCAGCATTCAAAATTAGAAATGTTACTCATAGGACTGCAAAAGTGGGGGAGGGAATTCCACAGTAAAGGCAATTAGAAAGATCAGTTGACACATTTGTTCTTATATGTACTTTTTAAGCTCTTGTTTCCGGTACAGATCTACAGTGGTGTCTCGCTTAACGAGGATAATCCGTTCCAGCGAAATCGCTGTAGCGCGAAATCCTCGTAAAGAGAAATAAAAAATTCCATTGAAATGCATGAAAACCCGTTCAATGCGTTCCAACGGGCTGAAAAACTCGCCCTCCAGCAAAGATCCTCCATAGGGGCAGCCATTTTCAGTGCTAGTAAAGCGAGGAATCCGTCCAAAAACACAGCGGGGGGGCATTTTACACAGCGGGTGGCCATTTTGAAGCCACCAATCAGCTGTTTTAAAAATGTCGTAATGCGAAGAATCAGTTCCCGAAGCAGGGAACCGATAGTCGCAAAGCGGATTTTGCCTATTAAAACATCATTTTGCGATTGCAAAAGCGATTGCAAAACAGTCATCGTATAGCAGTTTCGTCGTTTAACGAGGCAATTGTTAAGCAAGGCACCACTGTATTTATATCCATTGTTTTTTATCACCTGAATTTGTTCTCTCCTTATTTTTGTAAATAGAATCATATGCTGCCATGCTACTCCTTAATTAAAACTGTTAGTTCACATGAGGCATTTCTCATTTTTCCCATGTTTTAAAGCCAGTAACAATCTACATCTAAAGTTTTTTTAAATTATAAACAGTAAATAAAATCTTCACCCTGAACAATACTGCCTCTGAACAGATTTTTATATATATACAGTATATATCTAAAAAGATTTTTCCTAAAGGACAGAAATGTCTAACTACAGTAGTTGTAAGTTATGTAAACTATGGAGGCACATATGTGTCTTATTGCTCATCTTCTCTTTCAAATGTTGGTGAATGGAGGCAGGTTCAGTCCTTTCCTTGCTGTCATTCACGTGCATTTGAAAGGCAACTGTAGTGATTAAAGCTGCAATCATATATACAGATAAGCCATTCCCCATGGTTCAGAGACTACAGCTGGTAGAGAATGCAATCACCATGATGGACATTATCACTTAACCCCTTATACTTGGAAGGGCACAACCAATTTGCTACAAAGCTAGGTTCAAGATTCTTTTGGCTTATAATGTCCTAAACTACTTAGTACCAGATTGTTTGGAAATGTGTCGTAGATTAGCTAGGCCACTGTTCTGTGGCTGAGATTGTCTTCACTATGCCATTGTATAGTGAAGTTCATTTTGATTGCTTTTATGATTGCATTAATGTTTTCTGTTGTGTAATGCTGACCTTACATGGAGTGATGACCCAGTTGACGAGAGGTGGTCAAGCTGGTGAGATACTTCAGTGTAAGATGATTCCATTATCAGTTGAAAATTTATCACTACAAGTTTCTATCACATGAAGAAGCTTTCCATTACAATTTAAAAACCATTTGAAAGCAAGAGGGGGTTGTGAGGATATTGTGATGATTGAGCTGAGAGATAGGAAGCTGATCCTGATGAATCAAATAAAGAATCTAGAAGCTACTGTGAACTCCAATATATTCAGTTTTGTTGCACGTAACTCATTACGTTATATGCATGAGCCACATCAGGGGAAAAAATTCCTACCAGTTAGATTCTTGATGCATTTCTCACACCTATATTATCACTTGGTCATTCAGAAAACTAAAAATGCCACATGATGAGAAGTCATTTCTTTCCAAGGATTCAGAATTTATTTTGCTAATATGCATGTCTTGATACTTGTTTCTTTAAATGAAATGTTCATGTGATATTCCTGTTTCTTTTCTGTTCAGTGGTCAACTGTTCTGATCCAGGAATCCCTGCAAATTCTATAAGAGAGAGCAAAATTGAGCATGGAAATTTCACATATGGAACAGTTGTTTTTTACGATTGCAATTCAGGATATTTTTTATTTGGATCTTCAGTTTTAGTTTGCCAGCCAAATGGTCACTGGGATAAGCCTTTGCCAGAATGCATTAGTAAGTATTTTAGAATATGTGTTCTTATGGTTCTTTATGATGGTGGTGGTGATACAACATTTGTGAGATCCTTTGAAGCGTTAAAATCACTTCATATATATTATTGATTTGGAATCCTTACAAAAAACCCTTTAAAGCAGTGGTCCCCAACCTTGGGTGGTGGTGGTGGTGATACAACATTTGTGGGATCCTTTGAAGCATTAAAATCACTTCATATATATTCTCGATTTGGAATCTTTACAAAAAACCCTTTAAAGTATCACCCATATCACAGGTGGAAGTATTCAGCCTGAGTAAGGGTGGCTTCTATAAGGACAACCAGCTCATTCAAAATTTGAAGGAGTTGGAATCTAAGAACATCTGGAGGTCCAAGATTGGTGACCACTGCTTTAAAGTATCACCCATATCACAGGTGGAAGTATTCAGCCTGAGTAAGGGTGGCTTCTATAAGGACAACCAGCTCATTCAAAATTTGAAAGAAGGGTTTTCCTGATTTACAGTTCTGTTTTTTAGCCACTGTGCTACCAGGTTTACAGTAAGAAGCTGGTTCATAAGCCACAATCCGACTGATACTTTCCTGATCAAGAAACCCTGTCAGTAGATTCAGGAGGAAGTGATTAATCATGTATCCATCCCCACATACAACCTTTCTATGTCCTTAGTATCTTCCCTGGAGAACATGGAGATATCCAGAGTCCTTGGAGGATTCTAGAGCAGACATTTTCATGGCATGGAGACTAGGAGTAGAGGTGCAAAAAAGAAGAATCTCCTGTTGTGAGCACTCAGGAAATGGGAGAAGAATCATCTCCTTTTGCATCCACTGATGGGGCTTCTATAATGGTCAAATATAACCAATTTGGGATTCACCCAAAATGTCTATATAAAATAAGCGGGAATAACACAAGGTGGTTACACTTTCTCAACATATATGCATGATTTGGATAGGCTTAATTTCCTGTTTGAAAAGGAAGTTGTCCTGACAGTTGTTGGGCATGACCAAGGCTTGAAGCGTGCTGCTTACTTGAAGCCTACAACTGGGCTTTCTCTCCAGGTGAACCCAATTTAAGTGTCTGTAAGGTCTGTTTCTGACAGGTGGAACTCCCAGAAAGTTGAATTATGAGAATTCAAAAGGATAATGCTAGTCTAAAGATCAATTTTTGTAAAATCTGGCCAATGTTTTAAGGCAAATCACACATCCTATAATATACAATAGTATATCAATAATACCACACTAGTATAGAAACAGTTGAAATAATGTTATACATAACATCGCTAAGAAGATAGCAAAGGTATGATAGTTAAAAGAATGTAAAATACCAAACATATTTCATTAACGGTCCTTGAAAAATGGGGCAACTAACAGAATGGGTCAAAAACATCTCATTCTGCTGACTGCATCCCCAGACTGTACACGCATTTCTGTTAATCCAAGTGGGTTTATGTGCCTTTGTTAATTATATGCATTTCATGTGCAGTTTAAAATAATTTATTTGCTCTTATTTGTTAAATGTACCCATGATTCTGCGTCCATGTGTGTTTCTCTGAAACACATTGGAAATTGATACTTCAATTTCTACAAGATTTATTCCATTTAGGGTAGTGGGGATAATTGCTGAATTCTTCATCCTTGTTGATTTAAGCTGTCTCAACTATGCTGAGACACTTCAGTGAGATGTTTTAAAACCCCTGCAGAATTCTTCAGCTCTAGCTAGTGAGGCAAAGAGCTTCTTCACCCTTTAAAGTCTCTTCAGTTTGCAATTTGCAAAAAGAAAAAAAGAAAAAAAAGAGTCTTTCTCCTTGAAAAGCACAGAAACAAACCACACATGTACATGGCAAGCACAGAATAGGTGCAAGTGCTTGTTACTAAAAATGCAAATCAACCGTACAGTGCTTCAGAAAACAAAGTAGCAATTCACACAATTGCATGAATTTCACAGTTTTCTGCAAAACTTCTCTTTCTTTTTGAAGACTGTGAAATTCATGCAATTATGTGCTTGCTTTGCCAAAGAGACAGCTCTCTCAAGAATGTCAGGGTTTCCTAACCATCCTTCTAAGGAAAAGAGGAGTGCTGTGGTTTCTGATCCTTCGGTACAAGGACAAAACTTGTTACATCCCGAATTCCATTTTTTAAATAGCCTTGGGATGTGTAAAACAGTATTTCCATAATAAAACATGAACTTCACCCCAGCTGAGCTCTTCCACTCTTACTGATTCAAATCTTTTACTCACAAGCTTTCTCTTCCTTAGTTCCACCTTTTTCAGCTGAACCAATATTTCATAGGAGTTAAACATGTACTTTTAAAGTTTCTAAGGCTAGTTCCAAAGCAAAATCTTGATGTTGTTTGTTGTAGTGGTTGTTACTTTGATTCCCTCTTTATTCCGCTCCTGGGCTGAAGGATCCATACCTTTCTCTTCTTGCCATTTTATCTTTCCAACAACCCTGTGAGATGGGTCATCCCTTTGCCTGGCCCAAACTCATCTAGAGAGCTTTGTAGATCAGTAGAGATTAGAAGCTGGATCTTCTAAGGCCAAGGCCAAGTGTAACTGCTATGATACTGACTATCAAGTAAAATATTTTGGCTAATATCAAAGTATCAGATGATCAACCTTCACCAGTTCATGAAGGTAGACACCTCTGAAACAGCTTTCATTGCATTATTCATTCAGCATTAGCCATTGACTGCAATCTTCTGTTTTTACGCCAATCAGTAATTCCAAAATAGGATAATTATTTGTCAACCAGTGTGCATATTTACAAGGATATATAGAAACACCTTACCGTTGTTTGTTACATCAGTTTTCTGACAGACTCATATAAGGGACACAATGTTAGTAGTTTTGATTGTTTGCCACAATGTGCCAAATATGGTGACAGTGGTAAAGGTGGACAGAAAAAAATTAGTTTGGTGATTATAATGTAATTTTTATCTCAATATTTATGCATCGTAGTGGTTGACTGTGGTCATCCTGGCATTCCTCCAAATGCAATCCTGTCTGGAGAGAAATTTACATTTGGATCTACGGTTCGGTATTCTTGTACAGGAAGGCGGTCATTAATAGGCCAACTATCTCGGACATGTCAGTTGAATGGACACTGGAGTGGATCTATGCCTCATTGCTCAGGTACCACTTTTAAAGTATGTGAATGTGATTTTGAAACCAATTATAACCTTGTACTACTTTTGGCTGGAAATTTTTTGCCTTTCAGGGATCTAACCAAACCTAAGCCACAAAATATAGCTGCAGTCCAAGCAAAGTTTTTCAAAGAACACCAAGAGTGGAAATAGAAGATTTCTAATGATGTTTAGCATGAAAGATGAATGCTCATAATGACACAGGATGATTGACAAGTTCACCATGAATATGTTTATTCCTTACATATTGTTGGGATATACAGACAGGCTTTTGCCAGTATCCTGTTCAAGCTGGTGTAACGTAAATTTATGCTGGCCTAAATGGGTTTCTCTCAGCAACTGTGCAATTAATTGCATGTCCCCAGCATGACCGATCACAGGTTTTTCCAGCAGAAGTAGTTCAGAGATAGGACTTCCACCTCAGAACTAGCATAATAGGATTTTGCTCTTTCCATCATTACCTCACCATTGATTTTTTATTTTATTTTATTGGCCATCATGCAGAGTGACTGTTTGATAACTCTGTTCTAGGTTTAGTTGTGATAAGCTGATAGGCTCTTTAAAGAATACCATTTGACAAAGAAAGACTTTGATTTATACTATAGAATGATCTATAGTATGTATATCTTTTTTTAAAAACTCCAACTCCCAGAATTCTCCAAGAATTCCCTGGGCAAAATTTTGGGACTTCCTGTCAGTAGGTGTGTGTCTGTGGGCAGAAATGCCTAGAATTCTGCCCAGGGAAACCTTGGAGAATTCTGGGAGGTGAAGTTCAAAAGACAAAATAAAAAATAATAAAAAGATACCCTCCTGTTTCTTGGCACAAGACTCAAATTAGTAATTCCAGACACCAACATGAATGTCAATAAGTATATTGCCAAGTCTAAGTATATTGCCACCTAGTGGCTAAGCTATATATTACCTTAAAAACCTAGCTAGCAAATATAACCGTAAAGTCATAGCTATCAGCTATGTGTTCAAGAATAATTGAAGTGGACCATGCAAGGTTTCCAGTATGGTTTACGAACACAAGTAAAGTACAAATATTCATATTCACAGATTGGAACCATTGTATGGCAGGTAAGGGGACCTTGTGTTCCCCGCCTCCCCGTGGTCCTTTTCTGTTCTTGCCCCACCACATCTTTAATTTATATAACTAAAAAGTAATTCATTACAACAGACAGATCACTTTCTCATAGTGGAAGGTTGCAAGTCTGGGTGTCCTCAAAAGAGGATCATGGGTGGAAAGAAGAGGGTAATTCTCCCCCCCCCCATTTTTCGATGCATAGAAAGCATTTGACAATATGAACTGGAATTTCCTGCTGACACAGTTGCAATTAATGGAAGCTGGAGAAAAGTTTAGACGAGGGTAATTATTACTACCTCCCCTAATAACACAATAGAGTGCAATCTAAATTGGTCCCCTCAAATTTACATTAAGATGACAAGACAAGGACTCTATAGAAGATTAAGATAATCAAGAAATAAACAGATATTTTCACTTTAACTGAAATATTTCCTCTGTTCATTGTCCATTTTTACTCAAGTTCCCAAATGTTTGGAAAATGGACTATGAAGGGCATTTGACAGATGTCCTGTTATTAGGCAATAGGGATATAGTGTGGTATCATATGCTGTGTTCAATTACAGCTTTGTCACAGTCTTGTAGATAGAGGGATGTCAGTGATAGAGTTGTGATTCTCAGTCCCAAATTTGTCTCTTCACTGAAACAGATACTATATTACTGAAGCAGCTATTCTGCTGTGCAAGTACCTAATAGGCAACAAATATTGTCTACATAGAATAATAGATGTTGGAAGGGATCAGTTTCCAACATGTCACACTCCAGCATGGCCAGAACCCAGGGTGCAGCAATGTGGATAAAGTGCAGAATAATGGGATGGGTCCAAACTCTATTTTCCACTGCTGGTTGAGTAACAGAGACAAGAATTAATATGCAATAGGAATGGATTTAACTTCAGTTCTAATAAGATGTTTGAGAAGTTTCTGCTTCTTACACAAGAGAACTTTGCCTTTAAGTCCTATAGAAAAATGTGAAGTTCTGAAAAGAGGTCACTGCCCATTTTTCATGGTTCCGAGGCCAAAACCCAGACCTTCTACTGGCAAAAGTGGATTCTGATGACATGGCTGATAGAAAGATTGTGTTCAGAAAACATTCTAGAAGAGAGATGTTCATAGACGGTGAAGTTCAGTGCCAATCACAACTTCATCTACCACATCCAGTGATAGCAGGAAGCATTTATGGAATTGTTATGATTGTGCTGTGGCAATAGTCAAGGTAAGTCAGGAGTTGCATCAGAAGCCATTGATCACAAATGAAGAGTAAATCAGGACTAAAAGATTATTGAAGAGACAGGACTGAACAGCAATCCAAAACACAGCACTCAAGAATAATCAGGGATGCAGGAACACATTCTTTTTTTTTATTCAAGCAAAGATTTGCTGAAACAGACAGTTTTTTTTTCTGAAGTTCCAGAAGCTGCCAGCTACCATAGGAGATATTGGCAGGAGTAGACAACAAAGTAACTTTTCCAAGCTTTGCTCCTTCCTGTGGACAGTCTAGGTACGAAAGGATCTTCACTGAAAGGGCTGCAGTCTATGCTTTTGTGATTCCTTCCACAAGGCAGCTGCATATAGATCCTAGAGTCTCTTGGCAAAAGAAGGGCAGTTTATTTGAGACAAGGATGCCTTGACAATTTGATTTTCCTTTCTCCTATATGATACATCTCTCTTCGAGTAAGGTGAGGGCTAATTTAACTAACAGCCAGATTTGCACATCCCCCAAAAAGCTGTTTCCAGATATTGTAGCCCAGTTCTCGTCAGTTTAAGTGTAACAAAATATTTAAATAGAGAAAAATGTGAACTTAAATACATGTGCATTTAAATACTATACATACATATATTTTTACATATAAAGTGTCTTGGGAAAAAAATTATACAGACCTCCAGATCTTGGCTATAATTATTTGCAGATTCTCAAAGGCTTTCATGGCCAGGATCTGATGGTTGTTGTGGTTTTTTCGGCCTCTTTGGTCGTGTTCTGAAGACTTTGGCCGTGTTGTTTGGACTCAACTATCCAAAGAAACTGCACCAGAGCACAGACAGAGTTCTGACTCCTGTCCTCTGAAGATGCCGGCCACAGAGACTGGCGAAAAATTAGGAAGAACAACCTTCAGAACACGGCCAGAAAAATATTGACTATTATTATAAAACAGATACAAGTTTTAACCAAAAAAAATAAGAGATCATTACTTGTATTGGGCAGAGAGTAACTATGCTAGTGTTTGTGCCACTGAAGATTATTGGTCATGTGTCTTCCTTGTGAAATATCCCATCACATCCTATGATATTCATCATAGTTATAAAAAGATAAACATGAATGTGTTCATTAAGAATGACTGACAGGAAGACCATACTTAACTGCCTTCAGAGTGTAAAATGGCAGAATACTGCTTCAGCGACTCTGCACTACAAAAAGCCTCCTAAACTTTACATGCAGGCTCTTTGGGCTCTGAAACAGAGCTAGTTCACCTGCTACTTTGACTAAATAGGACCAGCTATGTTATAGTTCTAGAAAATTGTTTCCCATTACCATTATTTTATATAGGACAATTATCCAGTAGCTGGTTGAATAGCTCAGTGGTTTAGGTACGTGGCTGGGAGACTGATTCCCCACTGGGAGAAAACCCAGCCGGTGGAGCCTTGGGCAAACTACAAAGTCCCAGAAGTACCCCTCCTCATCCCACAAGAGTCAGCATAAATCAGAATTGACTTCATGTCATTCAATTATGCAATTATGTCATTGTCATAATTGTCACAATTGTCATCATCATTATCGTCATCATTAAATAGCAGACACAGTCAATCAAAATTATAAAAATATTGACTATTATTATAAAACAGATACAAGTTTTAACCAAAAACTGTTAAATATTAGCGCAGTAGGTATCTGTTCCTAATACAGTGGTGCCTCGCATAGCGGATTAATCTTCCATTACGGATTAATCTTCGCTGTGGCGAAACATCGCTGTACGGAACGTAAAAGCCCATTGGAACGCATTAAACTTAGTTTAATGCGTTCCAATAGGCTGCAAAACTCACCGTTCAGCGAGGTTGCTTCATTGTGGCAGCCATTTTTGCGCCCTCGGTAAGCGAGGGGAGGGCGCCAAAACGCTGCGCGTGGCCATTTCGGGGCGTCCAGCGGCCATTTTGGAGTCGCCGAACAGCTGATCCGCGGCATTGTTTTGCGAAGATCGGTAAGCGAAACACTTACCGATCTTCGCAAAGCGATTTTTTCCCATAGGGGCCATCGGTATGCGATCGCATTTGCAATCGCTAAAAAAAAAGGTGGAACAACGCACCCTTTTATTGAAATTCAGGGCACAGTGGCAAGCACATCCAGACCCAGAACCAATGTGATATTGTCTTTATGTGCTCACTAATGATATGTTCATCTTCTTCTTACATTTATAATGGGTCTTACTTATCTTATACATTCCATGATTTGTAGTTTCTAGCTTTGCAAGAAACAAGTTCCAACTGCTGATTTCAAATTCAGCTGAAGTTTCTGTCAGAGTGGATACAGTACCGCAGGACTGATGGATACTATCAGGAATAATTTGTGCAGGGGATGTAGGAGAGGAATGCTGAATGAGAGATGGGTTGCTTATTCCTGAACATTTCTTTAGTTATGATCAAGAGACCCGCAGCATGGCATTTTCACCAAGCCCTGTTCTGACAAGAGCTTAGGCCTGACCTGTGATTATAAATTGATTCTTCATAATTGCTTTGTTCTTCTGTTGGCTGTGCAATATGTTGTTTCCTGCTTTTATTGTTGTTTATGAAGAATGCTTCCATGTTGTTGTTTTTGACTCATGCTTGTTAGATTCTCTAGAAAGCATATGTTCTAAACAAAACAAATCAGTGTGCTTAAATAAATACATCTGGAGCCCAATATTGTATACATCTGCTCAATAGTGAGAAGCTTTCCTGGTTTGGTTCCAGGTAAGTGAGGATGAAAGAATCTATAACAGCAAAGCTTTTCTCTGGAGCAATGCCTTAGTAATCTCAGGAAGGCACACCTTAATTTTTAAGCCTGTTTTCAGAGCCTAACTACAAAGCAAAAAAAATTCAGAATTTGGTGTTATGCTATCTTGAAATGTAGGAATAGAAATTCACTCCTTTCTGTGTATGAAAATGGAAGAGAAGGGATCCCCACCACCGCCTATCTATTCTATTTTTTATTCATAAATAGTACCTCTGTGAATAGCTCCTTCAAGGCTGAAGCAGTTAGAACACCATTCAGAACTCACTTCTGCTCTTGACAGAATGCAGGAGCATTCATGTAATACAAGACCAGTGCAGTTCACTGTCTCCTCATCATATCTAGTCATCTGTGAAGTGGTGTTTTTTTTTAATGCCAAATGTTGAAAAATGTTGCTGTTTGCTGAAGAGGAGGTTAAACTTCATCTTGTTTTACCTCAGCGCAGATGGAGTATTTCATGCTCAGGGTCTAACTGGACATTAGAAACACATATCTTCACTTCTCTTCACATTTGAAACAGCTCACCTGCTTGAAGCTTGCAATATTTGAAATGAAGTTTGAAAGAAATTGAATTGAATTTTTCTCATGTTCTGAAACTCTCGGGGGAGCCTTTTTTGACCCGTAAAGTCTTTGAAAACTTCAGGACAGGGGAGGGAATTTTTAATATTAAAAAATCACGAGTGTTGATTTAGTGGCAATTTTCTTATATTAAAAGCCCCTTTACTTGGTTTACTGCAAATATTTAGACACTGGCCTTTCTACAGAATATTGGTACTAAATATGATCTAGAACTGTTCCAGTCAACCCATTGATTTAAATTGGAATTGTTGTGCTTCCTGGGAGAATAGACAGCCTGTGTAGCCGTGGACAAGCCACACAGTCCCAGGATGCCCACCAGAAAAAGGGGAACGGTAAGCCACTTCTGAGTAGTCTATATCTAGAAAACTCAAACAAGGGTCACAACAAATAAGAAATGGCTTGACAGCACATGATGATAATGTGGATGATTATTAAAAAGCACCAGGCACAGTCCATCAAAATTATAAAAACATTGACTGGTATTATATAACAAGTTTTAACCAAAAACCTAAGTATCTGTTAAATAT